TTCAAAAGCGATGAGTGCCATGCTCACGCTGCTTGGTTGGGACCATGCCAAAGTTGGCGTCAAGGCGGTGGACTTCGCTGCGTCATTCAACGCCCTTGGGATATCGGTACAACTGGACCACCTCAACAAAGGGTCTTTCATCTTATGCAATAAGGAAGGGCGCATTGAGCGCTTGTGTGCCATGCTCGAGGCGGTCAAATGCAGAGGAGCCATTTCAAAATCGGAAGCTGCGCAGATCCAGGGTCACTTGAATTTTGCAAGCGGATTCTTTGTGTCCAAAGCTCTCAGGTTTCTGGTATCTTCATTTTCTAGACTGGCTGACCTGCCCAGGTCGCTGGGGGGTGATGATATCTCCAAACTTTGCAATTTGGCAGTAACTATGTTGAAGGCCATGCCGCCTCGAGTGTATGTGTCAGAGTCCTTCAAAGATCCTCTTCTCATCTTCACAGACGGAGCTTGGGAGGATGGGAAAGCAACAGGTGGTGCTTTGACCTTCGACCCCCGCACGGGAGAGTCGAAAGTTTTTGAAGTGGAGATCCCAGCCGCACTTGTGGCCAAGTGGCTTGAGGAAGTTGGAGAACAACTGATATCCCAGATCGAGTTCTTTGTTTATCTTGCCGTCCGCTTCGATTGCCGTGAGGCTTTGCTCAACCGACTTGGCATTGCTTGGATCGATAACGAGGCGGCAAGATTTGTGGCAATCAAAGGGTCGTCAGATTCTTTTAGGCTTCTAGCAATGAGCCGAACCCTCCAACAACTTGAGCTTGAGATGCCTTCCTCGGTGTGGCTTGAACGTGTGGCCTCGTATAGTAACCCTAGTGACATGCCTTCTCGCAAACAGGTCAAACTGGCAGCCAAACTCTTTAGAGCTTCAGAAGCTGGGGTGTTGCGAGTCCCGAGTCGACTGGTCGATGCCATCCTCCTTATGCATCGGGAACCGTATGCCTCGTTGAACGCACTCTCTAAGGGGGTCAACTCCAGTGCGTAACTGGCAACTCACTCGTGACTTTCACCCCCGCTGTCTAAAAAGGTGCTGACCTGTTTTTCACTGCAAGCTGTTTTCAGTTTGATTCTGCATGTGAGACACCACGCGTTTTGACGAGAAGTGTAACAAGTTTGTCACGAAAAGGGTTTTTCGATCCATTTCGAATTTTCGTTTGGCGCAGATAAATTTTTACGAGCCACGACGATCCACGTATTTTGCGTAAACAATTGCGCTATATATATACACTATGTATATATATATATATGATACTTCCATATTTCCGTTTCTTGGAAGTTTGACTGAAACAACTTCTACAGTCCTCCTTTGTGCTTTGGTGAAACAGAGCGATCAAGACGAAGGCGTTCATGAAATGACAGCCATGTCTTGGAAGCTCGGCGCAGGCTCCACGGAGCGTAGTTTCACCAAAGTGTATATCGTGGAAGTTCCTTTGAGTTTATTTCCTGAGTGTAAACTGACTACGCTCTTTTCTAACTCAAAATTTAACACCGTCTTTTAGGTGTTGTTTTGTCAACCTGTTGAAACGATCAAACCTGATTTCTGCTCACAAGTTTGACGTCTCAACTTTTCTGTGTAAGAACGGTAGCCACATCTAAGAAACCAACTAAACAGAGAAACCTTCGAAATCATTGCACTGATAATCACATATCTTGTGCTGTGACATTTCTGAATCAAGGGTCGTGGAGTGGCGGGCATTGAAACTTGTTTTTCAATCCAAACAAGTTCTTTCTCAGCCCTCCCTTTCTTTCCCCACCCTTGAGCTTTCATTCTCTTCTCCGTTCTTACTATGTTTCACTTGCCAGTATCCGAGTTGATCCTCCGGAACGGCCTACCCCTATGCCGTTGTCAACTCCAGTGCGTAACTGGCAACTCACTCGTGACTTACACCCCCGCTGTCTAAAAAGGTGCTGACCTGTTTTTCACTGCAAGCTGTTTTCAGTTTGATTCTGCATGTGAGACATCCACGCGTTTGACGAGAAGTGTAACAAGTTTGTCACGAAAAGGGTTTTTCGATCTGTTTCGAATTTTCGTTTGGTGCAGAAAAATTTTTACGAGCCACGACGATCCACGTATTGTGCGTAAACAATTGCGCTATATATATACACTATGTATATATATATATGATACTTCCATATTTCCGTTTCTTGGAAGTTTGACTGAAACAACTTCTACAGTACTCCTTTGTGCTTTGGTGAAACAGAGCGATCAAGACGGCACTTTCAGCAATGGTGCTGGCTTCTGAGTGTGAGTGGAGGGCCATAGATTTTAGGATGGCAAAAGACCACTTTACAAATGCTTGTGCAAATTTTGATTGTCAAAACCAAAGGGATTTCCTGGGAAACTTTGAGGCTGGAGTGGGCTTGAATGGGGTTTCACTGGGGTTCCATGGTGTTTGTGTAGGGTTTCTGTTGTTTTTGTTCAGCGTTCCATGGGCTTAAAAAAATCAATAAGATCTAACAGATCAGCCTGATAAACCGCTGTATGATGATTCAGTTGATGCATGATCTCCATAATTTGTTCACTTTTGGATTGCGAATTGAGACCTTTGCAATTAAGCGTTGGCATGCGCCATGTGGATGCATAGGGTATTTTACTTTCAGCATATTGTGGGGGTGGATATGGAGGTTGAAAATTTTGTTCAGGAGGCGTATGAAAAGACAGTCTTTGTTTTTTCATTTGTGAATATTGTTTTTGCCGTTTTCGACGCTTTGCATTTTAAATCTTGTAAAACCAAGAACTGACAAGTCTCCTTTTCTTCTTGTGGTAATGTTCTTTACGGGGAGTCTGCCCAAAACTATTCTTTATGGTCACGCCTTCGGTTTTGGCATTGGCCAGCAGGGTAGGTTCTTGGGTTGCGGGATACAGCAAAAAGGTTGCAACCAAGTTCCTCAATGCTGTGCTGCCATTTTGTTTTATTTGTCGCCAATGTCTGCGGTTGTTTCTCCGGAGGGTTTTCCACTGTTCGTACCTAGCTTTGCGTTTGTCAATGTTCTTGTTGCCTCTTCTAGATTTCTTTCTGCTAGTGGAATTTTCATCGTTTTTCATGACAGCATGTTGGTGCACTTTTTGATGATGCTGCAAAATGGAATAATCCGCTTGCGCTGTCAATCCGGCTCTCCTCGGGAAGGTAGGGTCATAATATGTCATAATATCTTTGTTTTCTTTGTTGAATAGGGCTTTTAAAACTGTGCCTATGCATGGGTTTCCCCAGCTTGTCAGCGGCGTTTTTTTGTTGATGGCGAATGCCTCTGTAAAACCTGTGCGGTGAAACATGCTCGAAATGCAGCTCCCCACAGAGAGTGCCATTATATCTCAGTGGCTGGATGGCAGCCAGTTCATACAGAGTTGTTTCACACAGAGCGTTTTCAAAAAGAGCTGACCCACAACGGGTCACTTCAAATAGAGAATCCTCAAATACCGCTGGCCTATGAAGGGCCACTGGTTCACACAGAGTTCGTTCAAATAGAGTATTTTTACATTGAAAGGAAAATTATGTTTTCTTTTTATACTCGAATTTTTCATGCGATGCTTGCTGTGTTTCTATTCCTTTCCTGCGTTACCCATCTGACATGGCGAATTTTTTCTGGGCTTCTTCCTGCAAGGCTGCGTGGATCTGGTCGTCATTTTTCCAACTCACCCTAATCAACTTCATCCAAAAGGGGTCACGGGGATCAAATGGGGTGTCGAGAGTTGCGGATACTCCTTTGCCCTTTCCTTTGCCGGGTTGGTTGTTGCGTCTTCCCTTTCCCTTGCTACCTGTTGCTGCATAGAGCTCTGCGATCTTGTTGTCCATGTTCTTGTGAATTGTCTCGAACACAGAGTCGTCTACGAAGACTTGGCAAGAAACGTTGGTATAGGAGAAATGGCACCAAACCAAGTATCCTCCTGTGTTTGTATCTTTGACTGGTTCTCGCTGGAGGATTTAAGAATGCATTTGATGAAGGCTGTGCTTGCATCCTTCGGGAAACCTTCCACTGTAGAGGATTGGGATGCTTGTTTAGCGTCTGCCTGTAGTTGCTTGTATATGAGGTGAGCTCCGATGCGGTGGTTGATTTCAATGTCGTATGTCGCTTCGTTGAGCTGTTGTTTGACTTGAGTCATTTGGGTTTGGAGTGCGTCAAAATTCCTCTCGTTGCGTTGTCTTTCTTTTTGGAGTTCAGTTTACAAGTCATTTGTGGTCATGTTCGGCTTTCGCAGCTCTGCCTCAACTTGTTAGTTTGTGTTGTTCGTCTTCTTCCTCGTCGTAGCTGTAATCAGAAGCTCGGCTCTGGTTTCTTGTTCTAGGTCTTTCTTCTGGTTGTTTCAAAGGTGTTTTGATACCATCTGTTCTGATGGGTGACTCCATCGTCATCTTTGACATTGTTTGTGTGGCAAGTGCGATCTGGCATGTTTCTGTTTCTGTGTTGGAGCTTTTGCTCTTGGATCGTTCTGATTCTTCATCACTGGCCTGACTGTCTTGAAAGTGGACCGTCCTTTCTCTGCGTTCGTCTTCGTCTGCACTTTCTTGCTTTTGTTTCTTCTTTTCTGTGTCCTCTGTCTGCCCTCTCTACGTCCATTTCCTCCAAGTTGTTGCGTGCTTTGTGACTGCTGGATCTGGCTGCCTGCCTTTTTGTTCGATTGGTGTTCTGCTTTTTTCTCTTGTCGCCATCAAACGCCGGGATCACGAATACAACGGCCCCGACTAGCCTAAAGACACTAGTCTTGTCGTTGTGGGTGAACATTTTTCAACCTTTTTTGGATTCCATATTCAAACAATCGTTTCCTTCCAATTTGGAATTTTGAATGTCTTGTTGCAACATTTTGGTGCAACATGCAGTGTTGTGGTTTGCCGCAGTTTTGTTGCTGTTTCACAGGTGTACCACGATACTTATTTTTTTTGGGCAGTGAACAATCAGAGCAAAATTTTGTGCAATTTGAATTGACTGTGCGCTGGGATGTTCAAAACCTTGTTGCAAAAAGGCAATGTTTTTGCAGATACATTGCTGTGAATGTGCCAATCAACATCGCTATGGCGCCGTGATTTTGCACAGGTCCTGTCCGTTTAGCAGGCGCCAAAATGTTCTCGCGTTGACAAAACCTGGACCAAATTTAGTAATTTGCTTCGTTTCCGCATCGTTGCATGATCAATCCCGACAGGCCAAGATGGATGAAAGACCAGTTCCACACAGCTCCGATGATTTGAACAAGGAACTTTTGAAACAGTGCCTGGACTATTGCAGCCACGTTTGGCCCTCTGAAAAGGTTCATGAATCTCTTCTCTCGAATTTGTCTCATTCAACTGGACCAGAACCAGATCCGGCAGATCTGTCAATGCTTCTATTTTCGGATGCTTCAGATGATGAGTCTTTGCAAGGCCCAAAAGATGGAACGAATTCAGTGAAAGGATTCCGCAAGGCTGAGCAGGTGAAGACGGATTTGCAAGTCTCAGCGATAAATCCAGCTTTGACATCCAAACATGCAAAAATTGCGCAGATGCAACGGATGCTTCACCGAGACATTGAGAGAAGGCATGAACATGCGTTTGATGGCCTAAGAAGGAAAATGGATTCAACCACGGAAATACCGCTGACCGACCCTGGCATTTCAGATACATCGCCCTGTGCAAAATGTATCGGTCCTGAAATCCAAGAAGGTGATTCCATCGCATCGCAGAGCCATGAACCTGGAGTGAAGGGAACCCTTGATCCGTGGTGCACCAGCATCACACGTAGACATCAGCGGGAAGTCAGCATGAAAGAACTGAAAATCCAGGAATGGAACTATTTACGGTCCAATTTTGGCAAAGTGATGAAAGACCTCGAGTCCAATGTATTGTCTTCACAAACACGCAAGGTGATCGATGCAAGGCCGAACCAGGGTCAAATAGAAGAACCAGAGACTCTGGAAGAGGACATGCCAGAAGTGGCCAGCCTGACCAGCATCGCAGAACTAAGCCAAAGTGAATGCAGGAGGCTGCTACAGCAGATGAAACCGTTGGTGCACGCCCCTCCTGCACTTTACAGAGGTCTTGCAAAAAGAGCTTTGGAGGAGTATGCAAAATTCAAACCGCAGACTTTCTTCGATTGTCGTAGGGTTACATTTTGGCAGTTTGGGAATGACAAAACAAGGCGACAAAGAGATCGAACTGATCGCAGCTGGTCAGCATTATGCCATTATGCATCCGTTTTTTCTTGTTCTTACTTGTTCCCACTGTCAGTGACGATTCAATGCTTTGTTTCTTAGGTAGAACTTTCCGTTGCTTGAGTCCTGTTTGTGAGCAGTGAATGTCTATTATTGTTATAGTTTGTTTTAAATTGCAGGTTGGTTCTAGGATTTTGTCATCACGAACCCGAACCCGAAGTTGAACTCGGGTGTAGTTTCTGAGTTTTTGTGTTGTTCCTGCCCGAATGTTGAGACTGGAGTGTTGGGGACAATTAAGTTCTTGACACTCTGTTTCGTTTGTTTGAACCTTCCTCATTCTTTCGACTCATTTTGATACATATCTCATATCTCAGATATCTCATATCTCAACGTTATTTTTTTTTCAAGGGAATTGGATACCATTGATACCATTGGCCTCTTGGCAAGGCTACGCCGGGCAGCCTTTCTTCAACCTTTTGATTGACTCTGATGAGAAGGCCACACGTGCCGCTTATGACAAACTTGGGCAAGCAACATTTTTGTGGTTCATTAGCTGCCATAACAATGCCAAGGCCGAGGCAGCCCTTCTTGAGAGACTTCCCGAGATGCATCGGATTGCTGCAGTTTATATGCTCGCCGGCATAAGCGGAGCATTACCTTTGCCAAGTCAATTCAGTCAATTCAATGCTGCTCCCATTTGCTTCCCAGGTTGCAGACCCTCCTGGAATCTCACAACGTTGTTGCTCTTGTTTTCCAAGAGGCTGGGTCGGCTGGGCCCTCTTGATTTGGAATGCTTGTAACATCCTTTCAAGCGCAGGTTGGCAGATATGTTGCGGAGCGAATCTCTGATTTGGACAGAGACTCTCTTGGGCGGTTAGTTTACATCTTTGCCAAGGCTTGTGGCTGAAGTTCAAATGTCAAGTCTGTCAAGTTGTGGTTCTACATGCCTTAAAGTCATCTTCGCATATCTTCGCTGATCAGAGGCAGGTGTCAAGAATCCTGGACTATTCAGCATCGTGAAGCAGGAGAGCCCTCTGAAAAATGCTATGCTTACGGCTTTAAGAATTTTGAAGACACTCCAAGCCTCCAAGCTTTGATATTGTCTGATGTGGTCAGAATGGACCGTGTGGTGCAGATCAGCTGCCGCCAGGAGTGTTTGCGTCGCTGCAGATTGAAGGAAGGAGAACATAGCCTTTCTCCGAAGGCCTCTTGAACTCAGGAAAGTGGATACTCTCTGCAAAATGGGTCACTCTTCTGCATCATTCTGCATCAACTGCAGGTCATATCCGATGTGCTGGTGGCATTTGCGACTGCGAAAATTGCAGATGATGAGCTGTTCGAGGCGTGAAATTGCGGGAAATTGAGGGTCAGCCGGCAGCATCTTCAGTTTTCAAGAAAGACAAGTGAGAGGAGCGTGAAGTATTTTCTGTTCCTTCCAACTGGAAAGTTCCCAGCCCCAATGTGATATTGTCCAGAAGTCCAAGTCCAATAACTGTTTTTGGCTTCAATAGGTGCCAGTGGCCAGTTTGGATAAGATGCATCACATGTTCCTCAACATATCTTGTCAATTTTGGTTCGGAATAATTTTCATTAATCTGCACGATGTGCTGGCAGGTTTCACTTGATGAATCGCAGTGGAAGACTGCACTCTCTCCCTTGGACATATGTAGAATGTTTAAATATTAGGAGTCAATAGACTCTCGTCCTCATTGGTCCATTTAAATTAACTATTTTGAGTTTTAGTTTTAGTATTCACACACTCTGAAAGGCTTTGATGGTGCGAGCAGTTTCTCTCATGGACACCGACTTGAAGCCGGACAGTGTGCAGATGTTGACATGAGTTCAGGTTTGATTTTGCGAAATACAGTGGTTCGTCAGCAGGATGACGTGCACGTATCCATTCATATAAACAAACATATTCATACTGCTACATCCATGCATCCATGCGTCCATGCATGCATGCATACATGCATACATGCATACATAGATGCATAGATGCATAGATGCAATCATACATGCATAGATGCATCGATGCATAGATGCATACATGCATGCATACATGTATACATACATACCTACCTACCTACCTACCTACATACATACATACATACATACAGTGTTGCAGTGTTACACACATGCATGCATGCATGCATACGTATACACACACAGAAACAGCCAACCAGCCAGACATACATACATACATACATACTGCTACCTAGACATATATACATACATACATACATGCATACATACATACATACAGACAAACAGACATACATACAAACAGACATACATACAAACAGACATACATACAAACAGACATACATACAAACAGACATACATACAAATACATACAAATACTACAAATACATACAAATACATACACATACATACAAATACATACAAATACATACAAATACATACAAATGCATACAAGTACATACAAATACATACAAATACATAACACATACACATACACACATGCACATGCACATGCACATCCACACACATACACATACACATACACATAGACATAGACATACAAATACACATCATATATACACATACATATACACACATAGATACAGATTCACATACAGATACACATACAGATACAAATGCAGATACAAATACAGAAACATACGCTTACAGACAGGTACATACAGATATATACAGATACATACGGATACATACAGATACATACATACATACATACATACGTATACATACATATGTATACATACATACGTTTACATACATACGTATACATGCATACACATATATGACATATACATGACATATACATGACATATACATGATATATACAGACATTTACAAAAATATACATACATATACATACAAACAAATACATACACATACATACAAATACATACAAATACATACAAATACATACAAATACATACAAATACATACAAATACATACAAATACATACAAATACATACAAATACATACAAATACATACAAATACATACAAATACATACAAATACATACAAATACATACATACACATACATACATACATACATACATACATACTACATACATACATACAAATACATACAAATACATACAAATACATACAAATACATACAAATACATACAAATACATACATACATACATACATACATACATACATAGACACATAGACACATACATAGACACACAGACACATAGGCATACAAACAGATACATACAGATACATGCATATACATACATATACATGCATATACATACATTTACATATATACATATACATACATTTACATACATATACACACATATACCTACATATACATACATATGCATACGTTTACATACATATACATACATATACATTTACATCAAAATTCATGCATTAAAAAATACAAACATATACATTTACATATACATTTACATATACATTTACATATACATTTACATATACATTTACATATACATTTACATATACAAACAGATACATACATATACATACATACACATACATACACATACATACACATACATACACATACATACACATACATACACATACATACACATACATACACATACATACATACACATACATACACATACATACACATACATACACACATACATACATACATACATACATACATACATGCATACATACATACATACATACACACGCATACAGATGCATTTGCATATACATAGACATGTACATATGCAAATACACACATATACATACATATGCATACACGCACATACAAATACATACACACACACATACATATACACGTCCATACATATTCAAACATGTACATACACACACATACATATACATGTCCATACATATTCATACATGTACATACACACTCATACATATACATACACTCGTACATATACATACAGAGATTTACGTGCATGCAATTGCATTTACATGCATACACCTGCATACACATGCAGACACATGCATGCACATGCTTACACCTGCACACACTGTGGGATATGTTGATTCGATCGTAGTGTGGAGAAGTAAAAGAACACCACCAGTTCCTGAATAAAGGGCCTGAAACGGATCATAGGACATGAGGCATGAATTATGAAATATGAAAAATGGATTCCGGTTCTCAGCTTAGCCGGATGCTATATCGAAGTTACTTAGTTTCCGGTTCTCAGCTTAGCCGGTCGCTATCCTCTGATGCAGGTACGCTGGGTTGATCAGACCCAGTATCCCATGATTGTGGTAGCTTCGTTGAGTGCGGTCCCACAATCATGCCGCACTCCCCTGCCAAATCAATATTTAGACTGCATGTTATTAGCAGTGTACACACACACATGGCCTCTCAATATGAGAGGCGAATCAGTAAGAAGCACAGTAAGGCTCTTTTTATCGACACCACTGCATCAAAGATAGTACGGGTTGGTCCTTCCAAAGACTACGAAGAAAACGATGGATTAAACATATACTCGCATCAGTGAAAAATTCAGGAATTCGTTGATACATAAGGCCCAGAAAATCCTGAACCTGGCCCAACTGAATTTTGGCTGGAAAAACATGAAAACGAATGAGGCGCAGACGAGCACAAAGTCCACTCAGGATAGCACGAGAAGTACTAGCACTTCGCATAGATCGTAAAGGTTTGTTTCAAGGTGAAACCTAATGCCTCCTGTCCAGCAACCACTTCCAACAAAATGGGAGCAGAATAAAATTGTAAATTCCAGAAAACCGGAATATGTGATAGCTTTCGACTATGGCGAGAAATCAACAAAACACGATTGTCAACATATCGATGATGTAGAGAACGATCCCAAGTAAATGGAGAAAATGACATTGCGAAGTTCCATTCTCGTTGAAGTGCAACTGCAGAGCATAGAACGGGTGCAAACTGGGATCCCATACTGGCACCCCGACGTTGTCGAAATACTTGGCTCCCGACTGTGAAATACGAATGATCCAACAAACATTGCACCAAGCTAGGAATATCACGCAAAGTAATAGTCATATATTGTTTCGTCTTTTCTCTCCAAGATCCTCGAAAAAACACGAAGAATCCGTTCAAACGAACAACATGTGATTGCATAACAGTATCTAATCCTTGTTCACACTGAGAAGCAAAGGTGAATACAGCGAACTGTATGGCCAACAAAATACGATCATGTTCAACTTGATTGTAAAAACCAGCGATATCTGTTTGACGCAAGGAAAAGGCAGTTTCTGCAAAATCCTCCATAGAAAATAATGCACTGATACCAGTAATGACATCTTGAACATGTGCAAATTCCAAAATAGATCCAAAAACCGCATTGAGGATGCAACCCGAATGCATCAAGTGATCTACGGAACGACACTGAAACAGCCGTCCGAGAAAACTCTTTAAATCTTGGGACTTCTTGGTTGTAAACAGATCAGGAAGTTAAGACTGCGTCAAGCCTAACAAATCTTGATTGCCCACATATCGATGATGCAACGAACGATCCCAAGTGAAGGGTGAAAAAGAGAGATGATAGTTCCATTCACGTTGTAAAGCCACGGCTGAACAAAGTACAGGTGCAAACTGAGATCCCATACTGGCTCCCCGACATTGTCGAAATACTTGGCTCCCGACCGTAAAAAAGGAATTATCCAGCAAGTATTGAACAATAGCAGGAATGTGTCTCAATGTAACACAGAAAAGTATTGTTTTAAAATAACGTTCCAACTTGTGAATGTGAGCCTGCAGGACAGTGTCTAAACCTTGTTCGGTTTTCTGTGCATACGTGTACGCGACAAACACAATGACATCAAAATTCCGGAAAGTTGTACTTGATTATAAGACCAGCAATGTCTGCTTGATGCAAGCAATGCGCAGACTCCGCGAAGGACTCCATAGTAAACAATCGACGAATTCCTTCAATAACAGCTTGTACATCCGGAAATTCCAAAATGGACCGAAAGACAGTGTTCAAAATTTCGATCAGAAGAGTAGAAATCGCACTGCTCAATTTCCTTGCCCATGCTGTTGAATAATGCACAATTGGTCGAGATTTTACAAAATCACGGGTAGGTTTAGGCAAAATATATCATTTGCTCAATGTCGAATTGCAAAAACCTGATCCCCAGGAATAAGTTTGTTGAAGAGCAGGGATGACTGGAGGTTCCACACGTGTTGAAGGCGAAGGTGTAGCCTTGTCCCGAGCCAAAGTTGCCGCTGCTGCCTTGGTAGAATCGTCCTGAGTGGTTCCTGGGTAAGAGGCAGCACAGACATCTTTTTTATCATAGCATGAATTGTTACATCTGGCAAGAATCTACGAAATGAAAGTAGCCACTCCATGAATGGTCGAAAGGTGAGATCGAAATGCCCAACGAGAATCTGATCCATGCACAACATCAAAGAAATAGCCCAACAATTGATCTGCATAAACTCCACCCTGTGAGGTCCGAATGTGTGCTTGACGTGCAAAAGCACGACCAACAATACAAATAGGCCGAGCAGTATTGAGGCCGCCAAATTTCTTGGCTTGTTCCAAAATTTTCAGCACATGTTTCCTAGAAAAGGAAGAATCATCATTGAACAGTACTCCCCGAGAGTAGAAGGTATTGGGAGTCAGCCAGTCTGGGCTCCGTACATCGCATGATGATGGTCGAACGACCCCTTCTTGCACAGCTGAGGCCATTCCCAATACTGGTGTATTATGGCCAAATCCAAAGTACTCAAAAATGTCAAAATTGCCCGCAGGCCACTGCGGGAGTGCCAAGTGCGCATAGATCGCAATAGGCTGTTGCTGGGAGTTGAACATGATCTCAAATTTCTCAACCAATGAAACATTGTTGCTGTAACGTCCCAAAGCAGTAACCAGAAAGCGGAGAGATGTCAAAACAGAATCACGCAAAACAGGGTTACGTAGTTGTGCAGAAAATCGATGCTTCAAGTCAGTCGAAATGTAACCATGCCAAAATTGAGTGTGATTCACTGCATCTTCATGAGTAATGTAACCACGGGAGGAGTTAAAATGGTCAGCATTAGGTATCCATTGTTGACATCTCGTATCTTGGATCAGCATTCCATCTTCAAAGGCATTCTTCACGCGAAATGGATTATCAGCAATTGATTTGTGAATACGAAGCATCTGTTGATAAAGAAAAAGAATGTCGATCGTCTTGAACAAATCGTTTGCACCCACTAATAATTCAGATGAAAATGTCGCCACGGGAAGAGCGACCCAAAATTGAAATCCTTGTGTCTTCAATTGAGGGTGGACCATTTCTTTGACTTCATGACTGGTCTGAAAAGGATCATCAGTCTGAGTCCGTCCAATGGTAAAACAGACAGTCTCAATGCGGACTGGTGGTACCACTCGCTCACTAACTGAAGACCAAATTCGTTCAGGAATATTGCTTGTTCCAGATTGCTTCACATGATAGTAAAGACCATAGCGCGGAATCTGAACTGAGCTTGTAGCACTCTGTAGCTCATGAAGAGGGTCTGGTTGGAGATCAAGACGACGACGTTTGGGTTCCGGACCACTTGGAGTAAGCACTGAAGGTCCCGGACTAGCTGGTAGAACAGCAGACTGCACCAAGGGTCCCGGACTACTTCCAGGTAGTCCATGAGAAGGATCACACAAGGCCCCCGACGATCCCAATGCTGATTGGACAAATGTAAGCGGCTGAGTAAACAAATTTCCCACACCAGGTACTAAAGAAGACATGGAAGACATGAATGCATTGCATTGAAAAGCCAATGGTAACATCATTTGTTGCATAGAATGCAACTGTTGAGTCTGAATTTGTTGCATCTCAATGATCTGTCTTTGCATCGTTGCCATTCGTTCCAATGAACGAGCATGCTCTTGTTGGGTACGCAACATTGAAGACATAGAAGATTCAGTCATACGTAAATTGTTCAACTGCTGCGAAACACTGTGGGATCACTCCCGGAGGAATCAGCAAATTCGGGGGAGGTCCCGATGATTTCGCAAAAGTTCGAAAATCCATGGCTCGAAACTACGGCTCTAAGGTTAAATGTAGAATTAGATCATACCATAAGAGCACACAAAACTGAGGATATGACCACATGTACTGGAAGAAGTGCGCATTCAAAGTACTTCGTCATACGACAACTTCTCCCTTGTGGGTACTTCGCCAATTAGGCAAAACTTCGCCTTATGGCTGTCAATATGTGTTGGACGAACTTCAATGTCCACCTTGACATTGTCTACTTCTTTTGCATGTAATATGCAAAGGGAACTTCAGGATGTTGGCAACATCCCACTCTGCAGCCGGAAAAATGCCCGGTCATAACTTTCATATCCGTCGAAACGGACAGACGGTACTACCAAGTGAGGTAAAGTACCCGAAGCACACTGTGGGATATGTAGATTCGATCGTAGTGTGGAGAAGTAAAAGAACACCACCAGTTCCTGAATAAAGGGCCTGAAACGGATCATAGGACATGAGGCATGAATTATGAAATATGAAAAATGGATTCCGGTTCTCAGCTTAGCCGGATGCTATATCGAAGTTACTTAGTTTCCGGTTCTCAGCTTAGCCGGTCGCTATCCTCTGATGCAGGTACGCTGGGTTGATCAGACCCAGTATCCCATGATTGTGGTAGCTTCGTTGAGTGCGGTCCCACAATCATGCCGCACTCCCCTGCCAAATCAATATTTAGACTGCATGTTATTAGCAGTGTACACACACACAGACTCTTGCATACACATGCATACACAAAAACACAAAAACACAAAGACAAATACAGACACATACAGGCACATACATACCTGCACACATACCTACATGCATGCATGCATGCATACATCCATGCACACACGCACATACACACATGCACAGGCATACTCACGCGCAGATACGTGTTCACGCACACACGCATTCATACACACAAAGATACACGCAAAGACGTGCACACACACACACACTTACACACACACATACACACATACATACATACATACAAACCTGCTTACTTTATTTTTTGCGCTTACTTCCTTTCTTCCTTTCTTACTTTCTTTCTTACTTTCTTTCTTACTTTCTTTCTTACTGACTTACTGACTTACTGACTTACTGACTTACTGACTTACTTACTTACTTACTTACTCATTTACTTTCATACATACATACTTACTTATTTACTTACTTACTTACTGACTGACTGACTGACTTACTTAGTGACTTACTTGCTTACTTGCTTACTTACTTACTTGCTTGCTTGCTTACTTACGTACTTACGTACTTACTTACATTCTTACTTACTTGCTTACTTACTTACTTACTTACTTACTTACTCACTTTAGTTCTTTTTACGTGCTTACTTATTTACCTTTTTGTTTATTTACTTGCTTACTGACTGACTTACTTACAGCCTTACTGACTTACGTACTTACTGACTTGCGTACTTACGTACTTACATGCATGCATACTTCCATACTTACATGCTTACATAGTTACATGCTTAGATACTTACCCCTATACTTACATAATTTGAAACTATGATGAAGGAGTTGCCGTGCGAACTCTGTGCTCCAGCCAAAAGTTGTGCCGGCGATGTTCCTGCCACTCCATTCTTATTGCAGGTCGGACAGGGGAAACAAGAGGTTGGGATCTTCAGGATGTTTTTCAAGACTTGGAGAACCAAAAAAGGTCATTTGCCATGGCCTAGCTCTTTCTCTTGCCTTAGTTCCGGCTTTGGTTTGCCATGCCAGTGGCAAAAAAACAGACAAGAGAAACCGGCACTTTGTGACATGGTTTCCGAAGGAAACCGCATCCAATTTTTTGTTCCTTCTGAGGATTATTGAAACAGGAGTCAGCAAATCAAGAAAGACACTGATGCTGAGGACTTGGTTCAAATTTCCCGATCTTTCTTGGACCTGCAGCGTGTTGACCAAGAGAACCTCGGTGAAGTGCAGACAAACTTTGTCGGACTGTTCGTAGAGTGTTGTTCCAAAATGTATGCTTGATTTTTTGAACTTCAATTGGTCCAACTGGCTCTTTTCATTTTCCACTGTAATATGATGTAATATGCATATGCAATGTCAATAGTCAGCTTTCAACCACAACCAAATTTCAGGATGGGTCTGAGGTTTTTCGACGATATGTCAATGTACATTGTGAAGGCTGTGCAATCTCCTAACGAAAAAATGGTTGACTGGCTACTTGGCTGCAAGATGCCAGCAAGATATATATTTTTTTTCTGGATCGTTTGCTTGTACTACTTCCCTCGACTTGCAGGTTTGTGGGGAATCCGGCTTCACTATCACACATTGCCAACGTTTTTATCAAGGCCAGCCAACGTCTTTGCATTTTGATGAATAAGAGACATCGAACGCTCCTCAGTGACAGGCGCGAATTTTCAAAGCCGATCTATTCTCAATCCTTAAGACGTTGGCTGCAAGGAGAAAGGACAGGTGTTGGTGCGAAGATATCTTTGACGAACACTGCAATGGAACGAAGCACATACATTAGTTTTTCATCATGTTGGCATTTGCATTTACTGAGTTATTTTGACAGCCGCAACCACTCACAAGATAAACGTGACCTTCGCTGAGCCAAAAAATATTTTTCGTCTCATGGTCTTTCCGTGTTTGTCTAAACCAAGAAGTTCTTGTTTATCTCCTGAACTTCCACAAGAAGGCCTTGAATGTAGTCTGAGCATGTCTGAGCAAACGTGGTCCTTCTATATATCCCCTTCAAAATCTCTTTCAGTCACGGAACAAAACCCAAATCTCACATCGGTGTAATATGTTGAAATCTGAGAAGCCGTGATTTCAGTAGATCCTTAAACCATTTGTCCGTGCTGTCTTTGAGCAGAGATCTTTGTTGAGGAGGACATGCGGTCTGAGAGCTTGCAACAGCTCCGGCAAGCTTTTCTGGCCCAAAAGGGCGAGGAGGCAGGTACAATGGTTGAACTGGAGTGTCGAACGTTTGTTTCGCTCAAAAAGGAGCTTCTTGTTTCGCTTCGAGTATGCTGGTGCGCCATCAGGAGAAGCAGGAACGGAAAAAGTGGCAACCTCCAGAACGGTGCTTTGGGCAAGTTTAGCAGCGGAATAAATGGATTAAGTTGGTAGTATGAGTAACCAGCTACCAGTCTGAACAGGCTGACAATTGTGGCTAAAGAGAAGGACTGTATACTGGCTTGCTTGGAAGTCTTGACACCTAATCAAGAATGAGTTTCGAATCGTCTTCATTGTCAAATGTCAGCCACTAGCTGCCAGCACCTGACTAGCCGGCAGAACTGATGTTTCCCCTTTTGGTGCCACAAATATCTGGCATAATGCAAGTGCGACCAACATGCTGAGAAGAGCTGGGGGACATGCCATGTGCAGCAGTTTCACTCAGTTTCGCTAGTTTTTTTGCACTTTAACCCACCAGTGGTCTATGTATAGAATGTTAGTGGGCAACATGGGCCTTTGAGACAACATAAGAGGACAAATGAAGACGCAGAGCATGGACCCCTTTCCACTTTTCCCGCTCCAAAGTGAAGAAAGCAAAGACTGGGGTCAAACTTGGCTGTCCTTGGCCTTAAGTTGGGCCGAACAGGAGCTCACTTGCGCCCAACTTGAACTTGCGCCGAACTCGGGCCAGTTGGCTCCAACTTGGGCCCAACTGGGGTCCAACATGGCTCAACTTGGGCACGCATGCGCAACTTGGTCCTGTGTGGGGGCATCTGGCGCCGAAGTTGAGCCCAAGACAAGCCCAATGTGGGCAACATGGCTTCACACGAACCCCAAAAAACGTTGGAAATAGCGATAAAAATGCACGCTTTCAGCGTGTTGCATTGAGTCCGCAGAATTGGCTCGGGTTGGGCTCAACTTGGCGCCGGGCTGCTCCCACAGGGGCCCAATTGGGCCCAAGTGGCGGTGTGGAAGCCCAAGTTGGTGCCACTGGGTCATGTTGGGCTGAGGTTGGGCCCAAAGCGATCCAGATGGATTCCAAATTGAAGCCCTCTGATGCACATGGAAACTCGAGTCATGTCTATAACATGCCGCAGCTTGGCACCTTTTGGCAACAGCTTCGCGCCAAGTTGGGCCCAGCGGAGACACAACATGGGGAACATATTGGAACATTGCGTCAAACGAAGCGTCATCGATAGCAAAAAACGTGGAAAATACCATTGGAAACACGCGTTTTGGGCCGGCTATGTCCCCCATTCTTGAAGCCATATGGACCTCAACTTGTGCCAAAGTTACTTTCAAATAAGTCGAATTTGGGGCCAAGTTGCGCCGTCTTGGAGCCAAGTTGGGCCAAAGTTGGGCCGAAGTTGGAGCCAATAGTTGGGGCGTTGCTGGCCGAAGTTGACCCCAAGTCGGGGGAATGTTGCGGCCATGTCGGATCGGAACGGTGCATCTGGGCAATGTTGGGCCGATCTACAAAACGTGCAAATTACCAGTCCCGCGCACTTTTTGGCACCGGGCGAACATGGCCCTCCCCAGCTGAAGCCGTACCAGACTGTCAGAGCGGCCCATTTGTCGCACTCGCTGCTACACTACGCCTCGGCACCTTCGGTGCGGGCAGATTTTGAAACATCTGTGAAAATGTATAACGTAAAACTTCGATTTGTACATGTCCAAGGGATTGCCTTTATAGCCTTGCTTTGTTGGCAGGGAAAGGCAGAGGTGGATGGATTTACCAACAAGGATGCCAGAGACCATTTCTCCAAGACTTTTGGACCTTTGTATTTTCAAGGTTGCACTGGTTGCACTTGACGTATCTTAGAAATTGCCTACATTGCTGGCATGATTGATCGCATTTTCTTTAAACATCTCCTTCTTTATTCTTGACCCATCCAGCCTAGCCCATTTTAAACGTCGGACAAATTCACTCTGTCAAACTCTTTTGCCATGGCGACTTGCCAGGCGGCGTGGAGGCATGGGGCGTGCAGTTATTGAACTGCAACCTCCCAAAATTGTTCAAACTCGAAGGGAGAAGGCTGGATGCCTGAGCTATAGCAATGCCCGAGCTGTTGATTTAGTCGTTAAAGTAAACATGATGCAATTCTCATGTGCTTTCTGTGATGGTCGTTGCCATCTGAAACGAAGACCATTGCGAACGGGATCAGGCTCGGGAGCAAAGGCAGCGCCTGGCAGCAATGAGCGCAGAGGAAGTTGCAAAGGAAATCGAAGAAAACGAAAAACATGCAGGATTGAGTTCCTCAGCGGCACTTCACTCCACTTCACTGCACTCCACTCCGCTTCTCTCCTTCTCTCCGCTTCATTGCAGTTCATTCATCAGGGTGACACCAATTTTGGGCGATGTTTGTGAAAAGCGTCAAGATGAGAGCCCAAGGAATAGCCGAACAGCCAGCGGGGCGTGTCACAATGAATTTCCAGTCCTCCAGTTGTGTTTTTAGCTAGTCTCTTGGCTAGTCCCTTCCAGTCCAGTCCATCTGAGGCGCCTCTGCAAAAGTTTTGTTGAGCGGCTACAAGGTTGAGGCCATACTCGAAGCACAGGAAGGTCCCAAGGACGTCATCACTTGACTTGACTTGTGAAGTCTTGTGACTTGCACCCCTGGAGCGAAAGGATTTCTTCGCCAACTCAAACATGGGAGTGTTGTCATTGTGGTTTTTGTTCGTTTTGAGAGAAATTTTGCTTGAGTGTGCAACTGGTTTCAGACGACTGCTGGTCAATGCTGCTGCCATTGACCAGTTGGAACGTACCACGTGCATTCTTTATTTCTAGGTTCGCGTGTCTCATCATGTGACATACATTCCCTTATCACTTAATTCCATGATTTTGTATCTTCAGGTCGCCCAAGCAAACAATGTCAGTGCAGGAAGGGAAACGCACGAAGAGTGAAGTTATGGAAGCTTCAACAGCCATCAGCATTCGATCGATGGTCAAGGCTGAAACCTGTTGCTGTTTCCAACATGTGATAGTATGCGATTTGTGTGACCCAAGCTGCACCATTGCTTGCAGGGTAAGAAGGCCAGACATGAAGAATCAAGCGCTTCAGCAAAGGCAGAATTACGCAAACATTCCAGGCCCATGAAAGGAACACATTCAGGGTGAGTTTCAATATCTTTCGGCCTTTTGGGATAAGCAGTGAGAAAGCTGCGTGAGTTGGAAGCATTAGTCGAAGGACAAATTTGTAAGTTGACGACGGGGTCTCTGCAATGCAACATTCCTCGAAACAACGTTCGCCTGCACCTGCTCCAGTATGCAGGTCAAAACGTTGATTTCAAGGCCCAGCAAAATGCACTTCGACATTGGTGTTTGCGGTGATGGCAAGAAAAAAAGCAGATTGTGGGAGTTTGTTGGCTTCAATCACGAGTCAGCTTAGATAATCTTACATACATATATGCTTCCGTATCCCGTGTTCACCACCACCACCGCCGCCACCGCCACCAGTCACCACCAGTCACCACCAGTCACCACCAGTCACCACCAGTCACCACCAGTCACCACCAGTCAGCACCAGTCAGCACCAGTCACCACCAGTCACCACCAGTCACCACCAGTCACCATCAGTCTCCACCAGTCTCCACCAGTCACCACCAGTCACCACCAGTCACCACCAGTCACCACCAGTCACCACCACCAGTCACTGCCAGTCAGCACCAGTCACCACCAGTCACCACCAGTCACCATCAGTCACCATCAGTCACCACCGCCAGCAGCACCACCAGCAGCACCACCACCAGTCACCACCAGCAGTCACCACCGCCGCCGCCGCCGCCGCTGCAGGCCACAAGGGTGGCAGGGGCATTACCTAGATGCTTCCCATGTGTACACTGTATAGAGTGTTATCTATCACCCCCCCACCTCCCCACCGTAGGCCACAGTGAGCGCTCGACCATATACATAAAAAAAATTGTTCTTTTTGTGCGCTGATGTGCGGTTTTAGGTAACGACAGTTGTCAGATGTCAGATGCACCTTTACAACATTTTTATCGCTCTGGATGATCAGCTAGTCTGGCATTTGTGGCACTCAATCTCCGGCCTTGCCGCCTTGCCTGCCTTTCCATTGATTTTTTCAGCCAAGCTGTGCTCCAAGAGCCACGAAAGCATAGCGTCCCAAAATGGTTATGGTTTCACTCCCGAATGTCGCTGATAGATGCAGCAAGGCACAGAGCCAAACCCAAGTTGGGACGCAGCTACCGTGGCTAGCTGGCGATGCAGGTCACGTAGGGCCAGCAGCCGCTTGAGCCGCTTGAGCTGCTTGAGCTGCTTCAGCTCGCCGAGCAGCACCGAGCTCACAGGATCCCCGGACGCCAAATTTAGATAATCTGAAGGGGGGGACATATGAGAAATGGGGAAAGAACCATGAAAAGCACAGCTGAGGAAGGGATGCAACAATCGCGAAAGATCCGAAGCAAACGACTGTTTCTTTGACAAAATTGATTCCAAAAGGTGCAGTTTTTGTCGCCGAGGCGGGAGGGAAACGCCTCTTGCCGTGTACAATGCCAAAACATTTAACCACATCCCAGAAACGAACACGTAAAACTACTTGTATTTATATATTTTCAACCAGTTGACCGGAAAACTATGTAAGTCTTCAGGTAAGACTTAGCAAAAGACTAAGCGCAAGACTTAGTGCAAGACTGAGTGTAGGACTGAGTGTGAGGTGTAAGACTGAGTGTGAGACTAAGTGTAAGACTTAGTGTAAGACTGACTTTGTGTAAGACTGAGTGTGAGACTTAGTCTAAGACCTAGTGCAAGACTGAGTGTAAGACTGAGTGTGAGACTTAGTGTAAGACTTAGTGTAAGACTGAGTGTCGGACTGTAAGACTGAGTGTAGGACTGAGTGTGAGCTGAGACTTAGTGTGAGACTTAGTGCAAGATTGAGTGTAAGACTGAGTGTGAGACTTAGTCTATGACTTAGTGTAAGACTGAGTGTAAGACTGAGTGTAGGACTGAGTGTAAGATTCTAATGACTGTAAGACTGAGTGTAGGACTGAGTGTGAGACTTAGTGTGAGACTTAGTGCAAGATTGAGTGTAAGACTGAGTGTGAGACTTAGTGTATGACTTAGTGTAAGACTGAGTGTAAGACTGAGTGTAGGACTGAGTGTAAGATTCTAATGTAAGACTTGTAAGACTTAGTGTAAGACTGAGTGTCGGACTGAGTGTAAGACTTAGTGTAAGAGTGAGTGTAGGACTAAGTGTGAGACTGAGTGTAAGACTTAGTGTAAGATTGAGTGTAAGACTGAATGCATGACTGAGTGTGAGACTTAGTGCAAGACTTAGTGTAAGACTGAGTGTAGGACTGAGTGTGAGGCTTAGTGCAAGACTGAGTGTAAGACTGAGTGTAAGACTTAGTGTAGGACTGAGAGTGAGACTTAGTGCAAGACTTAGTGTAAGACTGAGTGTAGGACTGAGTGTGAGACTTAGTGTAAGACTTAGTGTAGGACGGAGTGTAGGACTGAGTGTGAGACTCAGTGTAAGACTGAGTGTAGGACTGAGTGTGTGACTTAGTGTAAGACTTAGCGTAAGACTTAGTGTAGGACTGAGTGTAGGACTTAGTCTAAGACCTAGTGCAAGACTGAATGTAAGACTGAGTGTGGGACTTAGTGTCAGACTTAGTGTTAAGACTGAGTGTAGGACTGAGTGTGAGACTTAGTGTAAGACTTAGTGTAAGACTGAGTGTAAGACTGAGTGTGAGACTTAGTGTAAGACTTAGTGTAAGACTGAGTGTAGGACTGAGAGTGAGACTCAGTGTAAGACTTCGTGTAAGACTGAGTGTAGGACTGAGTGTGAGACTTAGTGCAAGACTTAGTGTAAGACTGGGTGTAGGACTGAGTGTGAGACTTAGTGTAAGACTTAGTGTAAGACTTAGTGTCAAGACTGGGTGTAGGACTGAGTGCAAGACTTAGTGTAAGACTGAGTGTAGGACTGGTGTGAACTTAGTGTAATACTTAGTGTAAGACTGAGTGTAGGACTGAGTGTAGGACTGAGTGTGAGACTTAGTCTACACCTAGTGCAAGACTGAGAGCTAAGACTGAGTGTGAGACTTAGTGTAAGACTTAGTTTAAGACTGAGTGTAGGACTGAGTGTGAGACTTAGTGTAAGGCGTGGTGTAAGACTGAGTGTAAGACTGAGTGTGAGACTAAGTGTAAGACTTAGTGTAAGACTGAGTGTAGGACTGAGAGTGAGACTTAGTGTAAGACTGAGCGTAGGACCGAGTGTGAGACTTAGTGTAAGACTTAGTGTAAGACTGAGTGTAGGACTGAGTGTGAGACTTAGTGTAAGACTTAGTGTACGACTGAGTGTAGGACTGAGTGTAAGACTGAGTGTAGGACTGAGTGTGAGACTGAGTGTGAGACTTGGTGTAAGACTTAGTGTAAGACTGAGTGTAGGACTGAGTGTGAGACTTAGTGTAAGACGTAGTGTAAGACTGAGTGTAGGACTGAGTGTGAGAGTTAGTGTAAGACTTAGTGTAAGACTGAGTGTAGGACTGAGTCTGAGACTTAGTGTTAAGACTGAGTGTAGGACTGAGTGTGAGACTTAGTGTAAGACTTAGCGTAAGACTGAGTGTAGGACTGAGTGTGAGACTTAGTGTAAGACTTAGTGTTAAGTCTGAGTGTAGGACTGAGTGTGAGACTTAGTGTAAGACTTAGTGTTAAGACTGAGTGTAGGACTGAGTGTGAGACTTAGTCTAAGACCTAGTGGAAGACTGAGTGTAAGACTGACTGTGAGACTTGGTGCAAGACTTAATGTTAAGACTGAGTGTAGGACTGAGTGTGAGACTTAGTGTAAGACGTAGTGTAAGACTGAGTGTGAGACTAAGTGTACGACTTAGTGTAAGACTGAGTGTAGGACTGAGTGTGAGACTTAGTCTAAGACTTAGTGTAAGACTCAGTGTAGGACTGAGTGTGAGACTTAGTGTAAGACTTAGTGTTAAGACTGAGTGTAGGACTGAGTGTGCGACTTAGTGTAAGACTTAGTGTTCAGACTGAGTGCAGGACTGAGTGTAAGACTTAGTGTAAGACTGAGTGTAGGACTGAGTGTGAGACTTATTGTAAGACTTAGTGTAAGACTGAGTGTAGCACTGAGTGTGAGACTTAGTGTAAGACTTAGCGTAAGACTGGGTGTAGGACTGAGTGTGAGACTTAGTGTAAGACTTAGTGTAAAGACTGAGTGTAGGACTGAGTGTGAGACTTAGTGTAAGACTTAGTGTAAGACTGAGTGTAGGACTGAGTGTGAGACTTAGTGTAGGACTTAATTTTAAGACTGAGTGTAGGACTGAGTGTGAGACTTAGTGTAAGACTGAGTGTAAGACTGAGTGTCGGACTGAGTGTGAGACTTAGTGTAGGACTTAGTGTAAGACTGTAAGACTTAGTGTAAGACTGAGTGTAGGACTGAGTGTGAGACTTAGTGTAAGACTTAGTGTAAGACTGAGTGTAAGACTTAGTGTATGAGTGAGTGAAGACTGAATGTAGGACTGAGTGTAAGACTTAGTGTGAGACTGAGTCCAAGACTGAGCGTAGGACTGAGTGTGAGACTTAGTGTAAGCCTTAGTTTAAGACTGAGTGTAGGACTGAGTGTGAGACTTAGTGTAAGACATAGTGTAAGACTGAGTGTGAGACTAAGTGTACGACTTAGTGTAAGACTGAGTGTAGGACTGAGTGTGAGACTTAGTCTAAGACTTAGTGTAAGACTCAGTGTAGGACTGAGTGTGAGACTTAGTGTAGGACTTAGTGTAAGACTGTAAGACTTAGTGTAAGACTGAGTGTAGGACTGAGTGTGAGACTTAGTGTAAGACTTAGTGTAAAGACTGAGTGTAGGACTGAGTGTGAGACTTAGTGTAAGACTTAGGGTAAGACTGAGTGTAGGGCTGAGTGTGAGACTTAGTGCAAGACTGAGTGTTAGACTGAGTGTAAGACTGAGTGTGAGACTCAGTGTAAGACTTAGTGCTAAGACTGAGTGTAGGACTGAGTGTGAGACTTAGTGTAAGACTTAGTGTAAGACTGAGTGTAGGACTGAGTGTGAGACTTAGTGTAAGCGTTAGTGTAAGACTGAGTGTCGGACTGAGTGTGAGACTTAGTGTAAGACTTAGTGTAAGACTGAGTGTAGGACTGAGTGTGAGGCTTAGTGAAAGACTTAGTGTAAGACTGAGTGTAGGACTGAATGTGAGACTTAGTGTAAGACTTAGTGTAAGACCGAGTGTAGGACTGAGTGTGAGACTTAGTGTAAGACTTAGTGTAAGACTTAGTGTAAGACTGAGTGTAGGACTCAGTGTGAGACTTAGTGTAAGACTTCGTGTACGACTGAGTGTAGGACTGAGTGTG